CTGGGCAGATGCGGGTCCACCAGATGGCAAGCATTCTGATTAAAATCAACTTTCCCTTTTGTGACCAAGGCTGTTGCCCCCAGGATCATACCGCTGCCCCTCCCTCAACTAGAAACCAGCTACCCTTATCTAAGGCTCAGGAGGCAGCTGCAGGAACAAGGACTGGCTAGAGCCCACGCAGTCCCAGATGGCAGGGGATCCGACTTCCAGTGGACCTCGAGCCTCGTCATGCGCTCACTGTAACACATCGGCACGCTAAGTGACACGCCCACCAGCATTGTGACAGCTGACAATTGCCATGACAGCAGCCGGAAAAGCCTACACCAAAACTAGAACATCCGAGCAAGGGCTGATTGGCTGCATCACACCCGGAACGAGGACGCGAGGGTGGAAGCCTCTCACAAAGTCCAGCGGCCTGACCCGGGCTGGCCGTCCCCGCCGCCCACCTGGCCGACGGCTCCCCTCTCCGGCACCTCCTCCTCGCCCAGGTGCTTTTTCTTCCCTTCTCCCTGCTCGAGCTCATTCCTTCCTTTTCCTCTTTAGAGAAATAAAAGCAGTCTCGCCCTGTCCCTCTGCCTCAGCTGTGAATTCTTTCCAGCCAGCAGGCAAGAACCCACACTTCGGTGGGCCTCCTAATTTAGGGGTCCCTCCATCCGCTAACACAACCGTGCCGGTGTTCTCAACGTCAGTGCCCAGGCGAACATCACCACATTTGGCCTCGTTACAAAGGCTTCCTGCCCCCAACAGCAAGCAGCTGTGATCCTCTTTGCAAAGCCATCTTTGATGGGCACATAACCATGTTCTCCAGCCTTTGAAACCACGCGGGTCCTCGTCTCCGAGCCCTGCGCGGTCCCCGCGGGGACATCACGGGCGATGGGTGTGCACCCCGTGGGCGAGGCCCCAGCAGAGACTTGCTCGGCAGAAGTGACCCTTCACCCCAGGGGCCCCCTCACCTCCAGCCTCGTCCGGTCCACGTCCTTGGGCAGCTTCACGCGAATCCGGTTGGTGACGATGAGGGCGTCATAGGGGTAGATCTGCGGGGAGAAGGAGGCACGGGCTCACGCCGGGCAGCGAGCGGGTGCCGGGACGGGGCTGAGCCTGAGGCCAACGGAGAGGTACCTACTTGCGTCTGCGTCTGACACACACATTTCGTGGGGAAAGCACAACAAAGGGGACTGTTACCCTGGGCAGGTGGGCGCGGCAGCAGCGGGCGGCGCGGGCCCGGCGGCCCTCTTACCTTGTATTCTGTAAGAGAGAGCGGAGACCACACGGGCCGGGTTAGAACGCGCAGGAACCGTCCCGACGGTGGACGCAGCCCCACCCTGCAGCCCCCGCCCTGCGGTCGGCCGGGCCATGCCGTCCCCGATCCCCGCAGCAGCCTGCAAGGGACCCTAATCCTCGGCGGGGCTGGGCTCTGAGGGTCTCCCGCGGGAAGCCAGGAGCAGGAGGCATGGTCAGGAGGCTGGAGGCCAGACTGGGAGCCGGACGTGGCCCTGTGTGTTCCCGGCTGTGATGCTGTTTCCCCGGTGGTCCGGGCTGTCTTGGTTTCCCACCGCCCCCCTGTGGAGACTGGCAACCTCGCTGGGGTCCAAGCCCCCAGCCTCTTACTGTCTTACCTTCTTCACCCTTTAGCTCCTCCTTTTAAACACAGAGCTCTGCACGCTAGCTTTTAAGAAAGCTTTTCTTCCAGACTAACAGCAGCTCGTTAAGAAACAAAGTTGTGCGGACGAGAGGCCTCATGAGCGCGCAGAGCCCACACACCGGTGTCTCGGGATCCTGGCCGCAAGCCCGGCTC